TCCCCGCCCCTCCCCCTCCGCCCTCGCCGGGCCGCGGACCAAGGACCAGGGTCTCTAAACGTGCCTGGCTCGCTAGACCCACAGCTGAACTAACCCGCTGGGCAGAGGCCACAAGTTTGACGAGAGCGGGTCCTCCCGCACGGACCCGGACCCAGACGGGGGTGCGGAGCCAAGCAGGAATAGACTCGCGCGGCAGCTGGCTGTAACCTTCATCCGCGGAGGCCGGGCCCTTCCCATCGCCCTCCTATCCCCCACCTCCCCACCGCGAGCGGCGTCAGTCTGCGGGACCCGCAGAGGGGTTGTGCGTATCCAGATTGAAATGCGCCCTCCACCTCCAGGAGGGAGCACACACGGCCGCAGGGGGCCTCGGCAGAGTGCCGGCGCCGCGATCCCAGGGAGTCCGCGCAGGGGGTGTGCTCCACCGTGACCCCTGGCAGTGCTCTGCAGGGGTTTGCAGCCTGAGAATGTGTGTGTAGTGGGGGCTGGGGGAGTGGAGTGGGTGGCGGGGCCGGGGATTCAGGGCGGGTAAATGGGTCTTGGGGCATATCCTTGGTTCCTGGCTTGGACTCCTGATTAATTATTAAACCCTAGCAATTGGTATATCCAGGCTGGCGACTTGCCCTCTGAACCCTTAGAGCTGCCTTTGCGCTCACCCGCCTTTGGGGTCTTTCTTTGTGGCCCAGCTTTCATGAGGTCTCTGCAGAACCCTGGCCCTCTCTCAGTCCATGGCATTTCATAATTAAAAATCAACACCCCTGAAAACTAGGACTGACCATCCAAGAACAGTTTAGGAAACGGTACAAGAGAGCAATGTCTGGACTATTCAGACCTAGAGGACCTTACTTCAAAGATATATATATCTAGATATAGATAGATATATATCTATAGATATAGATATATATCTATCTATATAGATAGATAGATAGATAGATATAAATTTTATTTTCCTGGCCCGGATTGCCCAGATAATGCTATTTCGCAGCCAAAATTCTCTGAGAATTGGCATAACTCCCTCTTTTATTTTCCCGATGTACTCGAACAAAGAGTCTTAACGTAGTAGCCCTTCTTACAATATTTTCATAAGGCATAAGAAAATGTAGGAGTCACCTAATTTCACGTGGGACATCAATTTGGTCAAACCCAAAGGAATTAAAGGCAGCAATTATTTGTCATGCACCATGCTTCAAACAAATAAAATTATTTTAACTGAAAGACCTAAATAAAGTAACTATCCCCTGGGTTAAAGCGTTGTTTTAACCATACTCTTTAAAATATTTAACCCTGTTAAATGGGTTTTCATTTAATACTTAAATGGCTTTGTAGTACATTCCTGTGTATCACATCAAATCCAAATGCTCTAAAATTGCATATGCATTTATCCTTTGACTCAGCAATTCCACTTTTAGAAATCTATTTTTAAAATATACAGGCAAAAAATGAAATGATGAATGCATTAGTCTGTTCACTGCAGCACTGTTAGTAATAGCAAAAGATTAGGAACACAAATTTTCCATCAATAAGGACCAGTTCAATAATACATAATTTAATCCATTCAGTGGAATGCTGTATGGCTATAAAAAGTGAATAAGGATCTCTATATACTCCAATGGTGTGATCTCTAGAATATACAATTTGCTGAAAAAAGTGGGGACAGATAGAATAGGCAAATCCACTGAGACAGAGGGAAGAATAAAGGTTGCCAAGGGCTAGGGACAGGAGAATGGAATGAAGAATTATTGTTTAATGGGTACAGAGTTTCCATTTAGAATAATGAAAATTAACTGTGATAATGATTGCACAATATTGTGAATGTACTTAATGCTAGTGCATTGTATATTTAAATATGGTTAAAAAAGTAATTTTTATGTATGTTTTACAACAAAAAATTTTAATGCAAGATGCTGGATATTGTGTATTGTATACTACCTTTTGGGGGTGTGTGTGTGTGTGTGTGTGTGTGTTTTAAAAATAGAAGTATAAAACACATCTAATAAAAATAGTTGTCTTAGGGAAGGGAGAGGATATGGAGAAAGAGACAATGATGGATTTCTAAATATGCCTTGTTTTATTCTAACTTTGGAGCCATGTTTATATTCTATATAATTAAAAATAAAATAAAATTTAAAAAAAGCAATGCCTAAACTTGAAAACAAACTAAAACAAATAAACCTGTTAATCATATTGGTGGCATAACCAGAGAGAATAATAAAGGTGATATTTAAACACAATATTTTGACTGTACATCTTTAGTAGGCTATAACCTAAGAATGAAATGAACCACAAAGAAGTCTGAAATTGCATTCAGTGGTGGTAATGTAAGAGAGAGGAGTGGGGAGAGAAAGAGAAAGATGGAGGGAAGGAGGGAGAGAGGGTGGGAGAGAGAGAGAGAAATACATATTAGAAATCATGATTTCAGCACAAGAAAAAATAGATTGAACATAAAACAAAAACATTGTAAGTTTACATAGAATTAAAATGCCAATATGGAATTGGAACTTACCTTTCAAAAACATTATTCATTTTCTGGTCCTATACATTCATTGAAAAGACCTAGAAGTAGTGAGAACCCAACAATAATAAACACCCACTGTGCCCAGATTATGGTCCCTAAATACCATTGCTCAGTGAGAACAACGAGGGCTCTTTGGGTAAGTGGCTGATTTCAGGACTGGAACAGCAAATATGTAAGATGAGTCAGGACTATCTATCTTGTCATACTTGAAAGCAAGGAAATTATCAACTGTTAGAGTCATGTCAAAAGGAAACTGGAGCTAACTTGAAAAAGTTCCCACTGACCAAAGGTGGGAAAACTCGAGCATAAAAAAACAAACTGCAAAGGACTAAAATATATGAAATGTAAAAACATTGATAAATAAAATAATCAAACACTTATCCTGCCTGTGCTAGACAGACTCAGAGGAAGTATTTCTTATAAGAAAAACAGTTGTAAATGCAAAGATGATAGAATTAGAAAAATCATGATTTTTGCAAAGTCTAATGAAATGATGACCCCAGAAAACAGTTATCAATGAATGCTTAAAACCATTAAGTCACGGATTGTGAACTGAGGGTCATTTTCTCCCTGGGGAACATCTGAAAACATCTGGAGACATTTTTTATTGTGACAACAGGATGCTGTTGGGGGCAGTGAGAGAGTTGAAGGTACCAGGGATGCTGCTAAATATCCTACAGTGCAGTAACAAAGTAGTATCTGGTCTAAAATATCAATACATTTGGGAAATCCTGCATTAGGTGAACAGACAATTGGGGGCTTTTAAATGAATGATTCAAGCTGTTACTATCAGAACCTACTGATCGTTAAATTCTGAAAAGCAGGGCAACCAAACATTGTGTGTCTAAGTGATGAAATAAGAGGCGCACAGAACCACCTATGAAATATCTGTCAAAAAAATAAAAATGAACCTGAATGTAATCATACATTTACATTTAACTACCGGTTTCTAGGAACTATGGAGGGTAGTGAAACATATTAAATGATACCTCCGGAATACAATCAACCAGATTTAGAACATGGAAAATACCACAGGACCAGTTTTCTTCAGCTAAATAACATGGGTAGAAAAAAAAGGAGGGGAACTGTTTTGGTCCACCAACTAAATGCAGTGTTTGTACCTTATCTGGGATTTTTATTTGAAAACAAGCATAAAATGACATTTTTGAGGCAACCTGTGGGGAGTAGGGGGGATTAAAAGCAGACGATTAGATATTAAAGATGTATTTTTAATTTGAGGAGGTGTGACAATAGTATGATGGTTATATTGTATTTTCTAATACTATTTTCCTATACTTACTAAAATATAGTATAAGAAGAGAACCCAGGCTTCCACTCGCACCTCACAGTAATGAAGTACCCTGTCTGCTACGATGGCATCAGAAGAGCTCCAGTAGCGTGTCAGGGCTTTTGTCATTGCCCATCCCCATGGTGTCTTGGAAAGCTTTGGGGAACAATAATGAAGCACCCCTCTTCCTCCTAGCCAGGGCGGTATAGCACAGGTTTAGGAAGGAGCTGATATTCCCACCCCTGCCCAGCAATAACATAGTGCTCCTCACACCCCAAGTGTGTCAACAGAGGCAGAACTTGAACTTGTGCAGCTATCTAGCCATAAGAGGCAGTACCCCCCCTTCTCACCCCTCCACACAGTGTCAGAGAAGGCTGCTAAAACAAATGACTTAAATATTATCTAAAGTTTCAAAACATAACACCCAAAATGTCCAGGATTCAATTGAAAATGTCTCATCATAACAAGAAGCAGGAAAATCTCAACTTACATGAGAAAAGAAAATCACTATTAATCAAACGCTAAGATGACACCGGTATT